CCCGATGCGGGACTCGATCCAGGGACTCCAGGATCATGACCTGAGCCGAAGGCAGTTGCTTAACCGACTGAGCCACCCAGGTGCCCAACAGATCTGCTTTTACTTGGGACATTGAACAGCCTTCCAGGAGAGAGGAAGAACTCAGTTTGCCTCTCAGCAGAAGCCTGGCTTCTCTGGGGGACAGTGAAGTTCCTCAGAAGCTTTTTCCATGGCGGCCCCACAGCTGCGTACCTTTTTTCCCTTCAGGGAAAGCGAGAAGACGAAGCTTCTCATTGCAGCCCAGAAACAGAAGGTGGTGGAGAAGGAAGCTGAGACGGAGCGGAAGAAGGCCCTCATCGGTCTGAAAGTGGTTCTGTGATCACCTTACAGGGCGGAGGGGGCTGAAGAGGGTGGCGGGCAGCCACGAGGTCGCCTCAGGCACAGCTAGATCACAGTCTTCCAAACCCTTGCCAGGTGCAGGAGGGGTATTCATACTCCCCGAAGCAAAGCTGAAGTTGTCAGATCATGGCCAGGGGCAGTGAGCTTTGAGTCTCCCCTTATCTCTGAAATGAAACTTTCCTGTTAATTCTTAATAGAAAATAATAATGGCTAATACCTATCGAACAGATAACATGAGTCATGTACTTTTCTAAGCACTTATATGTGAATTACCTCACTCCTCACAACCACGAGCTGAGATAGAGGTACTATCGTTAACCTCATTTTCCTGAACCGAAGACCAGAGGGGTTAAATAACATGCCCAGGGACATATGGCAAGTGGTGGAAACGGGGTTCAACCCCAGGGACTATGTCCAGAACCTGGTTCGTAACTGCTACACCAGATTATCAGCCACTACTATCTGCTTCCCAAAGTGAAGTGGCAGGAAGAAACTGTTTCCTTAGGAAGAATCTCGTTCCTTAGACTATCCCTCCGGGAGAAATACCCTTGTGACTTAGGGTAGAGGTTAGGGCTTGCTCCTCGCTTTCGTCGGAGAGCCCAGGTCTCTCCATTTACTGTCTTATGCTGAGATCGTGGTACTGCACTCACTGGTACGGTCCATGTGCGCCCACGTGTGCCCGTCGCAGGCCTCTCCCTCTGAGCTAACCCACCGGCCCGCATCAGGGACTCAGGAAAGGTCAAACAGTCTGGCTTTTGAAATACCAGCGCTCTGAGCCTTTTCTCAACTTCATTTCTGTAGAGGCAGAAAAAGTGGCCCAGGTCGCAGAAATCACCTATGGGCAGAAGGTGATGGAGAAGGAGACGGAGAAGAAGATTTCAGAAATTGAAGGTGAGCACAGGTGAAGTGAATGTCCAAGGTTTCTTCAGGCCCCACCTTGTGGCAAGGGGGTGGGAGAGTCATTTCCTTCGCTCCTTCATCTTTGTTCTAAGAGGTGATGATTTCTTTGGAAAATCACTTCTTCTCTGTGCTTTTGAGTCGAGTTTGGGGGAGATATGAGGCCAGGCTGCCGTCAGTTTTCCACTTCAGAGAACATTCGCTCACTCAACAGATGTCCACCAAGTGTGGCTAGGCGCACTTGTGTGAGGCCTAAGGGAAAAGGAAATCATTTAAGTCCCTGCTGTCTCAGAGCCTTAGAAGTGAGCGAAGGGGTGAGGCCAGAACAGCACCCCCTCCCTTTGCCTTCCCTGGCCCCCTGCACGTCAGCGAACACCACAGCTGTGGCCTCTAAGTCTGCTCTCGGCACCCCCTGTCATGGATACCAAGACACCTTTTCAGCACCAACAACCCTGGAGCTGGAGAAAGAGTGCTTTCTTTGCTGGCTTTTCTGAACATGATTCACCTTCAGTTCCCTGCCCCTAAGCCCTCAGCTCGTTCCACCGCCTACCCTTTCCTTCATGTGGTGCCTTAAATCAAGCAAATTCTAAGACAAAAATGCGACCTCGAGGCCCAGCTTCAAAGCGCTGTGTGTCCACTTGTACTCACTATGGTATGGGGCCTGTCAGGCTTTGCGGGGGCCCGGTGAGGAGCCAACTAGGATTTTACAGATCAGTGGCTCCTCATTAGGGAGCTCTTAGCAAAACAAGACATTTTTATTTCTTATAAAAACATGTCATCAGGTGCTAAGGCTGCTTGAGTGGGCCGCAGGCAGCCAGCACGCCAGCCAGACTGCACATTCCTTCCGCCCTGCGTCGTGCTGAGGGTGTGCAGGAAGAACCCCCCCCGCCGCCCCGCAACAGACTGGCCGTCCTTCCCAGGCTTCTGGCTACAAATATTACTCAGAGGAGGCTGGCCTCATTCCCAAGGCAAGGGAGTAAGCAAAAATTTTGCATCGGGGCGCCAGGGTGGCTCCGTCAGTTAAGCGTCTGCCTTCGGTTCAAGTCATGATCCCAGAGTCCTGGGATCCAGCCCCACATCGGGCTCCCCGCTCAGTGGGAAGCCTGCTTCTCCCTCTCCCACTCCCCCTGCTTGTGTTTCCTCTCTCACTGTGTCTCTTTCTGTCAAATAAATAAAATCTTAAAAAAAAGTTTTGCATCAGCTTGACAGAAAGCTCATCTCAGCGGATTAAGGAAGTTGTGCACAGTGGAAGTTGAAATAGGTCTTCATCCAAACAGCTGTTAGTCTGGACCAGGGCATGTAGTTGCCTTGGGTAGAGTTATGTCGGCTTCCCCACTGTTAAAGAGTACCTTTTTAAAATGATTGAGGGAAATAAAAAGGGAAATGAAGTTGGAGAGGGACCGAGCTGTTTTATGTTCGTGGCATTGGGTTTTCGGCGGAGCCACCTCCGGCTGTATTCAGAGCCCTCCCTGGGCTCCTGGCGCCGTGGCTGTGCAGCACAGGAGGGATGGGGTAGGGACCTCTGAAGCTGGACGTGGGGACAGGGCCCACGCGGCTTCCCAGCCGTGGATCAGCAAGAGGGGTAAGCGCGGGGAGCCAGGAAGTGTCTCCTGGACAGCGCTCTTCTCGAGCCTACTGTCAGAGATGTAGCTGGGCACAGCCGCAGACGTGCTCCTTGTTAGTCCCCACCACAGGGAGATGCCGCCCGAGCACCTCTTTGTCATGGTTCATTTTCACCATGATTTGTGAAATAGGGGAAATGCCTCCTTCCACATTTTGCAGAAGAGGAAACCAAAGCACAGCGGAGAAAGAGCAGTCTCCCCGAGGTCGCAGAGGCGGTGGGGGAGGGGTCCAGGGCCCAGTGTTCTGGTGGCTTTGGCACCGCGTTCACTGCCTTCTTGCCCCCAGATGCTGCGTTTCTGGCCCGGGAGAAGGCAAAGGCTGATGCAGAGTGCTACACCGCTATGAAGCTCGCCGAAGCCAACAAGGTAAAGCCCAGGGCCGCCTGGGGAAGAGAAGGTATATCTGGCTTTGGGCTAATGTTTGAGAGTTCCTGGTGTCGGATGGCCACCACCACCCAAGACCCTCCTGGCCAGAAGGGGTGGCCGCTGTGCCGTGGGGGACAGGTGCTGCCCTTCCCCTTAGCCGAGCCTCGGCAGAAGTTTAATCGTTGTGTGAAACACGGAAACTCCTAAAACTTGCAGCTCTGACCTCGCACATCCATTAGTACCCTGTCACTAATAGAACAGTGAGGCCAGGAAGAGTCGAGAGGGCACACTGCTTTGACAGAGACCGTCTCCTTGTGAAAAGTGAAGGATGCCACCCAGAGTCTTCTCGACCCTGGCTCCACCTAGTCTGCTCTTGTTTGTTTCTTACAGCTGAAGCTGACGCCTGAGTATCTGCAGCTGATGAAGTACAAAGCCATTGCTTCCAACAGCAAGATTTACTTTGGCAAAGACATCCCGAACATGTTCGTGGACTCTGCAGGCAATCTGGGCAAGCAGTTCGAGGGGCTAGCTGACAAGCTGAGTTTCGATGATGAGCCCTTGGACGTAGACCCTGAGGAGAATTGAAAGTTTTTTGTATACAACCTCGGATGACACTTAAAAGAGATCTTTATTTTTGAATGATGAACCGGGATGCTCCTCCCTCCCACACTACCTGCTTTGACTCTCTTACACATTATGTGGTGAAAAAAGAAGAAATGGATTTAAATCTATTCCCCTTCCTGGGAAGGGAGGGCAGGGATTGCTGATTTGGGGTCTTATTCAGGTAAGCAGTTTAGATGACTTCTGTTAAGATGGGCAAACCATGGGTTTGACCTTTGACCTCCAGACACTAATTTTAGCCCTTTGAAGCTGGCTTAAGTAGGGATTCAATCATTACAGAGTGGGAGAAATAGAGGGTGTTGCCTCCAGGTGATTTGCTTTCCCCGATTTGGGAAAACGCGGTTCAGTTTTCTCCCCTCTGCCTCCAAGGCGGGAGATGCCTGTGGGTGAGGCTCAGCAACTGAGCAACTGTGTGCTTGTGAGTCTGCCCTCAGAGCTGCGGGGGAACAGCTGCAGAGAACGTTTGGCTTTGCTGGTATTTTTGTCGGCATATGTGAGTCATTTTAGAGGCACGCTTTCTCGAGCCCTCACAAGGAAGGACTGGTGCTAGGTTTTGCAAGCTCTTCTCTCCTACCCTCTTTGCCCCAGGGCTTAAAGAGAATTGGTTTCTGACTAAATTCCAGAGTCAGGGTTTGGGCACCACCCCACAATTCTTTTTAAAACTTTTCACCTGTTCTGTGATTTGTTTTTGTTTTTTTTTCCTCTCTCAAATCTGTTCGTTGATACCACTCAGCATTAGGAAGATAGGAACAAACAACCCTAGTGTCTTACTAGCTGCTGAAGGGGGATCATTCCGTCTCTCAGCCACCATGGTACCTGCTTGGCAAACAACGTATGTTCTCACTGTGGAGGTTCTGTGTTGAAGAGCTCTTCCAGGGGCTGAGGTCACCTGAAGTATCTCCTAGTCTTAAGCTTATAGCTTGTGCTGGCAGTCTGACAGTGATAAAAAGGGAGCCCACTAAGTAGCACATGTTTTGAAATCTAGGGCGCCGACAGCCACACGGGGGTCAGACTGAATGCTCTATCTCCGGAGACAGCTGTGGGGTCCATGTCAAGAGTTCGTGCCCAGGTCCCTGGATTGGAAGGGCTGCATCAAAATGTTCAAATGTTTTGGGTTTGGGTTTTTTGGGTTGTTTTTTTTTTTTCCATTTCTAATTAGGAAAATTTTGTGTCATTCTGGGAGATTTGGGATGGAGGAGAACAAACATGAAAGATTTTCTTATATCCTGAAATTGGAGTTGGGGGGGTGGTATCCAGCTTATGTAGGCCATGAGTTGTGTACCAAATTGTTAGCTTATCTCCATCTAACTTGCAGGCATGTTGGTATTCTCCATGACAAACTCTGGCTTAGGATCTGCTTTGTTCTTAGCTGCCCTCCCCACCACCACCACCACCAAAGAAACTACCACTGTACCCCTTTTCCCTCAGTGATACTATGAATGATACTTTCTGGCACAGATCCCCACCTCATTTTTGGTCCCATGCCCAGACTTCTGCTTTATTGAATGGCCCAGAATTCGGGCCAGCTTGCTCCCAAGTAGCACCAGGCTTGTCTTGAGAGTTTGGGGAGCATTCAGCACGCTTAGGTAGAAACAACATGTTAACTCCTCTTAATTCAAATGTTGCCCTTCCCTGTTCTAATTTCTGGGACTTAGAATTCTCAAACCACTGGTCCTGGTCACACTTTGTGCAAGCAGCCAACCGTTCGTGGGAATGATGGATTTTAATGTGCTCAGAAGTGCTTGCAAAAGACAGTCTCCCAAGGCCAACATAGGGTATCCATTATTAAGATATACTTACCCTCCTCCCATTTCAGTGCCATTAATCACTTGTTAGGAGCAACATGACACATGACCTCCAGCTTCCCCAGTTTACATATTTGTCTGCTCCCTCTACTCTGAGATTTGCTGACTAGGCCTCAGAAAACACTACTTCAATAGAATAAAAAGCAAGAATATCTCCACCTCTGAATAGCACGTTTGCTCAGGTTCCTCACTTGAAAGCCCAATACTAACATCCTGTGACGGCTTGTCCCTTGCACTAGATACACTTTAACCACAAAAGAGCCTCAATAAAGTAAAATCCTGCTGCCCCTGCCTCCCTGAATGCTAATGTTGCTTCCTCTTTGAACAAAAAATATCAATGTCATAGTGCCCCTCAGTTTAAATTCAGTGGTTGTCTGTACCTGCCTGAAGAGTAAAATCATGGAAGTCAGCAGTTTCCTCAGCATGGGATAACCAATCTGTGTGACTCTGTGTCTTCAACACTCACTGGAAAATCTGATCTTAAAACATTTGAATTCTAAATGTGTAAAATGTGACAGCCTACACTTTTGTAGGCAGTAAAGTCATGGCTGCTATTTGTAAATGGAACTTCTATCAAAATAAGTAACCGTTTATAAAATTCAGTTTTTTGTAGGATTTTTCCAAGGAAAAGTCACCTTGGTTGAATGTTTCTCATTAAACTTTACAGAAGTGGTTCATATTCAGTACTGTTTTTAATCACTTTTTTAAATATAAGGACAGAATATTTGCAAGGAAGCCAAAGTTTGTTAATAATTTTTATAAGACTAATATAAAATAAATTTGAAGGGATCTGTGGTCATATTAACTTGAAGGAGGAAAAAAAGATAATTGAAAGAATTTTGGCAATATATTGATCAAAAAAAGTTGTTTTCTAAATGATCTGTTGTGATTTCTATGGGTCTATGTATCTTTCTGCACTGATGACTTTGCCATTTACAGAGTAAGTAGTGAAAGTAAGATCGTCGTCTTTACTGACTTATCAATTTAAGTTTGAAGATAAACCTCAGTCCTCAGTTGAGAATAAACCTGTGTATTGGCTAGTGACTGCTGTGTGTCTCAACTTAACGGGCTACTTCATTAGTTCTACTCAGTAGGGTTCGAGCCACTGTTTCTATTGCTTCCTTAGAAAAGAAATAATAGCCAATCAGTTTGTGTTTGGATTTCCATTTCTTTTTATTTCTTTTGTGTAAGCTGGTGATTGAATAGTCAAAACTAATTCTACTTTCAAAGAGCCCCAACAGTTTAATGACCCCCTTTGTAAACAAGAAATGATTCTTGTTATATTAATCACTCTATAAATAATATGCTGGAGTAATCACCTTGGGTTGATAGCTGGAGAAATTGTTTTAGACCACACTAAAGATGTGAATTTATATCTCAGTTTTATTTTCAGTCTTGCTAAATACAATCATTCTTCTTTGTATTTTTTTTAAAGTGAAATTTAGCAATAGCTAATATTAGGATAGGTGATATAAAGAAATAAAACGTCCCTCCCTAGTGAGTGGAGTGCAAGATCACCCTAAAAATATATTCAGATGACTATCCCCATTATCGGTGTAGAAACAAATAATTTGTAAACATGGCATGATTCTTGGTAGGTGCTATGGAAATTGATCATTTTAAAGATCCATTCACTGCTGCAATTCTGGCCCAAAAGGTAGAGATACTTTCAGTTGACTCAAAACTCATTTTGATATCAATTCAGTGAGAAAGTCCCAGTCTCTACTCTGGAAAGCTGCCCAGCCTAAAGCTGCCAAATAAAATACACAATGCTTGTTTCAATTTGAATTTCGTTTAAACAACTAATAACTTTTAGTATAAGTATGTCTAAAATACTGCAGGAGACATACTAAAAAATTATTTGTTATTTATATGACACGCGCATTTAACAGAATATCCTGTATTTTTATTTGCCAAATGTGGCAACCCAAGCCCAGGCTTCCTCGGGTTTTTTAACGGTGCTCTCAAACTTTTTCTATTGGTCTGAGATCCCCTACACAAATAACATGAACTTACAATTGAATAGGTAAGTTAAGAACGTAGTCCCTGCAGTTAGACTGCCATGATTCAGATCCCTGCTCCACCACTTCCTATATATACGGTCTTAAATAAATTCTTTAACCTCTCTGAACTTCAGTTTCTTCATCTATAAAATGGGTTGAGTGGTTTAAATGAAATCCTGCATGTGAAGGGGTTAGCACTGGGCCTGCCGTGTATAACGTTTTCAGTCATCTCGGAAAACAGGCTAGAAAGCACACACCTATTAAGTGGGTGCCACTAAGTGGAAAATCAAAGAAATGTGATAGAATAAGATTATAGCACAGAGAGGAAAAAGGGAACAATATTGGAATGCAGCAAACGGTATTGAGAATACGTACATCTACAGAAATGTCATATGTACAAAATAAGCGGGTTTGGCCCTCTTGAGAGGAATTCCCAGTTCAGGGCTCCAGTTTGGAAAAAATGACTTTTAAGAGGAGGCTAGCAAAACAAAATGTTAAAACCAAAATTTAAAAAGTAAAAAAATAAAGCCAGGGGTGCCTGGGTGGCTCAGTTGGTTAAGTGTCTGCCTTCGGCTCAGGTCATGATCCCGGAGTCCTGGGATCGAGCCCCTATTGGGTCCAGCTCCCTGCTTAGCAGAGATTCTGCTTCTCCCTCTCCCTCTTCTCCCCAGCCCCCTGCTCATGTGCGCTCTTGCTCTCGCTCTCACTCTCTCTCAAATAAACTCTTATAAAAAAATTAAAAATAAAGCCCATGGGTTGACCCCATAAAAGGCAGAAGGGGAATTTAACGATTTCACTTTATAAAAGTTGCATAAGGGTTGGCTAGGTATTCTCTAGCTCCTCTGAGACCAATGAAGAGGAAGTTAGCTTGCAGAATATTTTAGAAGATTTCACTTAAGATTGGCTAAAATTTGAAATCAGAAGAAGTAGTTGCGTGCAAATAGAAAATAAATCCAGGGATTAATATAAATAACATTTTCTTCTCCGATGGTCTTCAGAAATTGGGGAGAGTCTATGCTGTTTGGGATGGTTTAAATGTCATTCTATATAAAAGATCAAATGATCTCTAAAGGTCCTCCCCAGGTCTGTGGTTCTAGAATCTATATTCACATTTCAAAAGCCAAATGTGACCATATGGGTGCTGAGGGATTGTTGCAGTGGCTTCTCCACCTCAATTCATTTAAACTGGGACATGGGCATTATTTCTCCATTTCTCTTTAGAGCCAAGTAACCAGGCAACTGTAATTTTCTATTATTTTATCTTTTTTTATCCCCCAAAAGAATCACAGTAAGTCCAGAAGGAAACCATTTTAAAATCCATGAATGTTTTTCTCATAATTAAGGGCCTCAGACGAGAGAGGTGAATGTTTTAAATGCTTGATGGCATTTATGGTGAATAAGTATACTACATTTTTATAAAATTATTTATAAAATCTGTTCCTCTGGGTATTTGGCTTTTTAATCTTTCTCACTTCCTCTTTGTCCTTGTAAACTGTTGGAGCAATTTGAAGACAGTTACGGGTGATGACGTGATTGTGGACCTCCATTTTTCAAGGATTAGGGAAGAATGAAGTGTTAAATTAGATGGTTGATGTCTGAGGAAGTGGAAGAGAAGAAACTAAAAAAGAAAATAAGGAAAAAAAGTGGACTAAAATTCATTCAAAAGCATAGCTGAGAAGTAAAGACAGTGGAAAACGTGAAATGATGAGACTGGGGTCACCTTGATCTTTACTTCGATTTTCATAAGGTTATAGAATGTTAGAGGTGAAAAGCATCTTAGAAATGAATCCACAGGGCGCCTGGGTGGCTCAGTTGGTTGAGCGACTGCCTTCGGCTCAGGCATGATCCTGGAGTCCCTGGATCGAGTCCCGCATCGGGCTCCCTGCTCGGTGGGGAGTCTGCTTCTCCCTCTGACCCTCCCGACCCTCCCCGCTCT